ACTGCTGCCACTACTACTACTAATAATGCTACTGCTGCTGCTGCTGCTGCTGCTGCTACTACTACTACTACTACTACTACTACTACTACTACTACTACTACTACTACTACTACTACTACTACTACTACTACTACTACTACTACTACTACTATAAGTGTTACTTCGCATCAACGTTATTATTAAGATTAATTTACTGCTATTGTTATCAAAAACTAAAATGCAACCACTGAAGACAACATATAGAGTTTAAACTTCCTGATCGCCAATACCTGCTGTAAACAGACAGACGTCACAAAAAAGATATTTAATTTTTTTTTTGCAGGATCACAAATATAGGCCGCTACATTCTGGGTGCCGACACAAAGAAAACATTGGGAGCCTCCCCTCACAAGTGTTCTGGGGAAATACGCCTCGGGAAGGGGCGTCATGTGACCTAAGCCTTGTGTTTCTTTAATACACGTTAAAAAAAATTGTTGTTATTATTATGCACTGACTGGCAAATAAATATAATAATATCCAGAAAATAATATCATTTGTATAAACAAAACATCAATAAAATAAGTTCTATTCAGGGGAGGAGCAGATAAGCAAACTTGATACTCAAGATACCAAGTCCCCCCCCCCTCCCCCCCCCGATGTTCCCGCGCTGCTGCTACTATTACTACCACTACTACTGCTGATGCTGCTGCTACTACTATCTGAACTGCTAGTGCAGCTGCTAATACTACTACTACCAGCCGAACCACTTCTACTAGTACAGCTGTTTTTGCGGCTGCTGAAACCACCACCACCACCACCACTACTACTGCTACTACTACTACTTGAACTGCTAGTGAGGCTGCTAATACCACCACCACCTCTTCTACTTGTTAAACTGCTAGTGCCGCTGCTACATCTACTGCAAGAAATTATTACGAGTGGACCTTCAACTAGAACTTTTGGATGTGGGTGGGTGGGGGGCGGGGCTGAGTAATGTCTCCACAATTTGGTTTAAAGCGAATTCCGACTAAAATACTCCCCCCCCCCCCCACACCTTTTCCCACCACCCGGGTTCCGCGCCTCTGCACTTCCAGGACATGTAATTAACTAGTGCGCCATACACACAGTCGTATCAAGAATTTCACACACAATTTTTTAACTGCTGTGTTTACAACGCACATGTGCCCCACAGTCCGGGCATGAGAAACCACTGTCGTGAGAACATGTAGGTTATCAACTGGTTGGCTCACCATCAACATCAATCTCTGAATTGTCATCTCCGTGACCAGTTTCGTAGCAAGATGTCAGACTAGGTTTCGTGCTTTCTGGAGTCCTTATCCTATGAAAAACAGAAATAAAGAAAACTCAGATGTATTCCATGTCAAACGATAACTTCCTGTTTAGGTTATGTTTGTGTGAAAACGGAAATATGTTTTAGATGTCAGTGTTAAGTTCTCTCCGTTTAATCAGCAATATAAAAAAGATTTAATGGACTTTTTTTTTTCAAGCCATTGGGAGTTTTTAGCTATATGGTGCTTGTCTAATATTTCAGAACGATAGGGTCAGGGTGTATGATATCATCGTTCTCGTGCTCGCCAAAAGAGGGGAGGAGTAGAAGAAGAAAAACGGCGGGAGAAACGAGGAAGAAGAGGAATGTAAGAAGTAGTAGAAGAGAAAGAAAATAGAAGAAGAAGAGGAATGCAAGAAGTATTAGTAGTAGTAGAAGAAGAAAAAGAAGAAGAAGAAGAAGAAGAAGAAGAAGAAGAAGAAGAAGAAGAAGAAGAAGAAGAAGAAGAAGAAGAAGAAGAAGAAGAAGAAGAAGAAGAAGAAGAAGAAGAAGAAAAGAAAAAGAAGAGAAAGAAGAAGAAGAAGAAGAAGAAGAAGAAGAAGAAGAAGAAAGAAGAAGAAGAAAGAAGAAGAAAAGAAGAAAAGAAGAAGAAGAAAGAAGAAGAAGAAGAAGAAGAAGAAGAAGAAGAAGAAGAAGAAGAAGAAGAAGAAGAAGAAGAAGAAGAAGAAGAAGAAGAAGAAGAAGAAGAAGAAGAAGAAGAAGAAGAAGAAGAAGAAGAAGAAGAAGAAGAAGAAGAAGAAGAAAAAAAATAAAGTGGAAGAGGAGCAGCGGCAGTAATAGTAGAAAGAGCGTAAGAAGCAAAGATAAGAGGGGGAAATGATGGAAAAGAATAAGAAATCACCTGCACTAGTTCTGGCCGCATTGACTTCCTTTACAAATGTATATATCTAAATATAAAGATAACTGTCTCTTCCTTTCTCTCTTCTTCCTTCTATCTCCAAATGGAGCATAGGCCCTCAACCAACTCACGCCAAAGCGTTCTATCCGCCCCATCGCATGTAGTTCACCCCATGACCTCCCCTATCTTTTTAACTTCAGTATCTGCCAGGCTCTCTAGCGAAGTTGGTTAAACCTGACTTTCGCGGCGGCCGGGTGACGAACTCCTTGTGGTCCGGGTTCATTCCCGGGGGTAGGCAGAAAAGCCACATTTCTCCCAGATTAACTGTACCTATAATGGAATCAATGCCGAAGGGTTGCGATATCCATAGTACCGAGCCAAAGGGTTTACAACTCATGGTTTCTGGATACGTTAAAAAAAAAAAAAAACTTCAGTATCTAGCTCTCTTCTCCAATTTGTGTGTATGTGTCTGCCCTTATTTTCCAGCCCCTTCGGATTCCAATGCAAAGCCATTCTAGTTATATTGTTCTCAGGTTTTCTCAACGTGTGTCCTATCCAAAGCCAGCGTATTTTCCTCACATCTTAGTCCACTATAGTATGTTTACTTCTCGCAGAAAGCTCAACATTAGTGATTCTATCATATTATTTATCTCCCACTATTCTGGGCTGGCACCAGTTTGTTTGTTTGTTTGTTTTAGTATCCAGAAGCCATGAGTTGTTAACCCTTAGGCTCGGTATTATGGATATCGCAACCTTTCGGCCTTGATTCCATTTTAAATACCGTAAATCTGGGAGAAGTGTGGCTTTTCTGCACACCCCCGGGAGTGAACTCGGACTACAAGGAGTTCGTCACCGGGTCACCGCGCAATCCGGTTTAGCCAACTACGCTAGAGAGCCAGGCGCTTGCACCAGTTAATGAATGTTTGCAGTTTATTAGTAATTGTTTTAGTTGTTTTCCATGTTTCCCTCCATACAGCCGTGCTGATTTCACATTAGAATAAAAATGTAATCCTTTTCTTTACCAAGGATTAAGACCTGCTCATTTGCAAGACCTACTTTCTTACTTTCTCGACCATTCACTAGCCGTCAGCGTTACACTTACCTATTATCGTAGATTGCAGTTGTAGGCTTGGATGAAAGAATATTTTCAATTTTAAAGGATGACTGTTGCAAAGGCTGAGAGATCAACTTCTCTGTATATATCTCCACTGTAGATTTTTGTAGGGAAGTTAACTTCATTTCCTGATCTGTAAATAAATTATCAGTAGTTGTTTAGGTAATAGTATAAATGTTATTAATAAAATAATTGGGAAGTTAACTTCATTTCCTCATCTGTGAATAAATTACCAGCGGTTGTTCAGTTAATTAGAATAAAATGTTATTAATAAAATAATTATCTCCGTGTCTATCTATCTATCTAAATGTATCTGCCTGTATGCAAATATTATAGTACTGAAACGAGGAAACAGACTTAGCTCAGGCATTCTAGAGAAATGGTACGAACCTCTGGAAAAATGGTACGGACCTCTAGAGAAATGGTACGGACCTCTAGAGAAATGGTACGGACCTCTAGAGAAATGGTACGGACCTCTAGAGAAATGGTACGGACCTCTAGAGAAATGGTACGGACCTCTAGAAAAATGGTACGGACCTCTAGAGAAAATGGTACGTACAAACTTCTGGAGAAATTGTACAGAAGAACCCTAGAGAAAGGTACTGGTTAACGAACTTCTGGAGAAATTGTACAAACTTCTGGAGAAATTGTACAAACTTCTGGAGAAATTGTACAAACTTCTGGAGAAATTGTACAAACTTCTGGAGAAATTGTACAAACTCTCTGGAGAAATTTGTACAAACTCCTGGTAGGAATTGTACAAACTTCTGGAGAAATTGTACAAAACTTCTGGAGAAATTGTGCAAACTTCTGGAGAAATTGTGCAAACTTCTGGAGAAAATTGTACAAACTTCTGGAGAAATCTACAAACTCTAGAAATCTATCTATCTATCTATCTATTCTAGAAATCTATTCTGGAGAAATCTATCTATCTATCTATTGTACAAAACTTCTATCTATCTATCAAATCTATCTATCTATCTATCTATCTATTGTATCTATCTATCTATCTATCTACATCTATCTATCTATCTATCTATCTATCTATCTATCTATCTATCTATCTATCTATCTATCTATCTATCTATCTATCTATCTATCTATCTATCTATCTATCTATCTATCTATCTATCTATCTATCTATCTATCTATCTATCTATCTATCTATCTATCTATCTATCTATCTATCTATCTATCTATCTATCTATTCTATCTATCTATCTATCTATCTATCTATCTATCTATCTATCTATCTATCTATCTATCTATCTATCTATCTATCTATCTATCTATCTATCTATCTATCTATCTATCTATCTATCTATCTATCTATCTATCTATCTGGTCTATCTATCTATCTATCTATCTATGTCTATCTGGTCTATCTATCTATCGTCTGTCTGTCTGTCTGTCTGTCTGTCTGTCTGTCTGTCTGTCTGTCTGTCTGTCTGTCTGTCTGTCTGTCTGTCTGTCTGTCTGTCTGTCTGTCTGTCTGTCTGTCTGTCTGTCTGTCTGTCTGTCTGCCTGCCTGCCTGCCTGCCTGCCTGCCTGCCTGCCTGCCTGCCTGCCTGCCTGCCTGCCTGTCTATCTATCTGTCTGTCTGCTGTATGTGTCGCTGTGTTGGTCCGTCAGCTGACCGGTCAGTCCGTCAGTCTCTTTATTACAATTATTACCTTGGTTGTTGATATACCCCAAGGACAATGGGGATTCAAACTGGGTGGTCAGTTTATCACTGTGCCGGACCAGGCTGCCGGCCACTTGGGAACAGACCCTGTCCGTGGGGTAGCCCTGTTCGAACAGCTAAGGTTCGAAACTGACAGAAACCTTTCCCACAAAAACTCACACTTGAAAGGTTTGTCTTTGGAGTGGATGTATCTGCAAGAAACATATTTTCGGTTACTAATCCCAATTGTATATTCAGTTCTTTATAGGGGGTTGCAGAACCAAACGCAGCATTATCATTATCATAAATTATTATTATTATTATTATTTGTTACTATTATGGGTTTTTTTAGATATATTTAAATTCAGTAGTTTGCCGTTGCTTCTAAATGGTTGGCTCTGGATACCACAGTGCAAACCAACGCAAGGTGTTCTGCTGCCAAATCGCCTGCAGCTGGGATAGAACCCGACACCCCGGCATTACGATGCACATTGCAACGCCTCTGCCACATAAGCCGTGTGACAATACGCTCGGTGACTTCAGAAGGTCTTTCCTTAACCTACTTTTATTTCTTTGTATTTTGAAAGTATACAGGAAAATAGGGATTTGGATACATTCTTTATTTTAAGTAGGCGAAATGAACAAGCATTTAATTCTCCTGGGATGTTGGCGATATCACACACTAAAACTTTTTTCCAGGACGTTAAGTGTTAAGGTACAGAGATAAGACTGACAAGCAGACTTACTGACTGGGAGATTTGCACACCATCTGTTGGTGTCAGAAATGTTATCTCCTAGCCAGACTTTTAGGAGCAGCTAACTCCGGCTAATTGTGTTTAATTCCCCCTGAGGTTACCTAACTCGACGGCAGGTCGACGGTCACTATTGACACAGTGAGCGGAAAGTGTTGGCAGAAGAATTGACACCGTCTGATTTATTGTGAAGTAGAACTGGAGGTGTGACTAGGCCTATTAGCTGGGACAGCTTAATTGAACCAGGAGATACCTAGCGTGGGAATTCAAACTTGTTGTACAGTCCCTGACTGACAGGGGAATATACACCCACAGGGGAGGAGCTGTGATATCCCGTAATGAGAATGATTTTAGGCGTAATGTAGGAGGAGCTTGATAAAAGTTATAACGGGGTGAACTATAGGTCTGGTAAATGAGATCCTGTCGAGCACATGCCATCTGTTGGGCTTAACCCTAAGCTTGAGACAGAACTTTTGGCATCGTGGT